TCGGTAGACCGACTCATGGGTATGGTAGCAATGAGAACATTCTTGACTCCCAGACACATGAATTGAGAGAAGTCGTTTGCTGCTCTCCGGGGCATTTTAGATTCAGGTCATCCTTTCCTCAGAGACTGGAACCCTCACCTTTGGTTGACTAGGTCACATGTCTGACCTCTGAGCCACAGATGAGTTTGCTGTTAGTACAATTTCCAGGATAAGTCAACCTGTGGTTGGATAGACCTGTTGGCTTCTCTGAGACCTCAGGGTCCAGAGAAAAGCAAGTTCTGAACCTGGTCATGGTCTTTCCGGGGCTCCAATCCCTCTCCCACACAGTTTCCTTTCTTTCTTTTGTAAAATATGATTTACTTAAAATGTACATTTTAAAGTATACAATCCAGAGGTTCTTAGGTGTTGCAAGCTGTGTAACCGTCAACAGGTTCTAATTTCAAAGCATTTTCATCATCCCAAAACAAGACCCCAAACCCATGAGCCGCCATTTTCCATTCACCTCCCCCAACCCTGGCAACCATGACTCTACTTTCTGTGTCTGTGGACTTGCCTGTTCTGGACATTTCATACCAATGGACTCACAATATGCGGCCTTCGTGTATGGCTTTTTTCTACTTAGCGTCTTGTTTTCATGACTCACTCATGTCGTAGCCTGTGTTCATTCCTTTTTATGGCTGAATAATATTCCATTGTGCGGACATAATACATCTCTCACTCTTTCCTACTCTGCACGAGAACCCTCAGGGGATATTTGTAACCAGGCATTTTACACCCACTCTCGGAATAAATCCCCATCTCTGTAGTAACGTCTTTTTAGTCTATTCACACTCCCGAGTCTTTTTAACACTCCTCGAGTAATTTCGTGTTCCTTATTTGTTTAAAAATTAAAAATCCATTTTACCCAGAAAATGGCCAAACCAATTTACATTTATAAGGACAAATCAAACAACAAAGTGTGTTTTCTCAGAAGCCTCAGGCTTTTTTCAAATTTGAAATGGCAGTGATTTAAAATACTCCGTGTTATTGATTCTTTTCAGTCACACAGAACATTTGTGATGGGAGGAGGTGGAGGGATAGAGACCAGAGTCCAAGGGCAGAAAGAACCACTTAATACAGAAAACGTCCCGGGAATGTGTGCACCTCTGTTGTGCTCCGTTGATAAGCGTCTCCTACTGTCTGCTGGAGCCCACAGAAATTGTACACCTGGGTGCTTGCAGGAAAAGAGCCACCTTCCATACGGCTGAACTTGTCCTAGCCAGGTGGGGCTGGAGGGAAGGTAGAGGGCAGTGTAGACATTCTCCAGAGCAGCACTGAGCCATGGGATCAGGAAGGCAGCGTCTGCTCCCTGCCCGCCATGCACACGAGGTATTCTTCTGGATTCAGCGGGGCCTTAGGTGGGTTACAGAAAACAATATGGTTATAGGCACCTAAACACTCAGTGGTTTATCACAGAAACAAAGGGCTGAGTACCTCATGTTCTCACTCATAAGCGGACCTTGAACATTTACCATCATATTACAAGAAAGGGATTGGCAGTAGCTAGAAACTACCAGGGGAGGGAGGGGTATAACATCAATAAGGGTAACTGATCTCAAACCAGGTGAGGGCCCAAACTTTACCTGTACGATGTCCACTTGTATACCTCATCCTGAATTGTACCTCACATCTTTAAAAGAAAAAATAAAAATAAACAAATAGTGTGTTAGTCACAGCACTGTGATTGGTCTCAACTAAGGAGGTGTTTGGGAGGTGCAAAGAGCCACACAGGATTCTGTGCCGTTATGTCCATGTCACACCCACAGGCATGCACACTCACATACACACACAGGCACATGCCCACACACATTTTGTACACATGCACACATAGGCGCACACATACAGAAACATAGACACACAAGCACACACATACACAGGTACATGCACACGCAGGCACACACACACAAGGTACACACATACATACACAGGTATACAAACACACTCACAGGCACAGACACGCACTTTCAAGTCTGCCTCCACCAGACACCAGATCTCGGACTCGGACTTCCTAGCTTCCAGAACTGTGAGAAATGAATTCCTTCCAGTGAGAAGCCACCCAGTCTATGGCACTTTGTACAGCAGCCTGAATGAACTAAGGCGGACATCTAGGATTGAACAGTCAGAAAGATGGTCAGAGGTGACACAGTCAGCCCCTATCTTGCAAAGTGTGGAAATGAAGATTTCAGGAGATGAGATGGGGGTGTGATCAGGGGTGCAGAAAGTTAATGGCAACGCGGAATCCAGAGCTCCAGACCCGTAGGGTCTGCCAAGCAACAGACACCAATGTGACTGCTCCGGGGATTGTTTTTTAAATACAGGCAACTCCTTCCACGTGGCATGACCAATTTAGCCCAGAGCTCAGAGTTTGTTTTAGCATTTGGTACTTCTTCTATTATTAATTCTCTGCTCCTGAAACTGATCTTGACCAATGAAAAATATCTAACATCCAATCAGACTTAATCTTGGTGTAGGGTGTGTTAGATAGGACAGGGTATGTGTGTATATGTGTATGTGTGATTGTGTGTGTGTGTCTGTATGGTGGTTGGTGTGTGTGTGTGTGTGTGTGTGTGTGTGTGTGTGTGTGTGTGTATGAGAAAAACAGCAACAACCATTAGAAAACTAATCACAGCTGATCCATGAGGGACTTTGCTGCTTTTAATGAAGTCATTAGCCAAAGACCATTCTGAGAAAGAAAATGTGAAGCCTGAACTCTGAGAACATTACCTGTAATGAACCTGGAAATGGACTTGGGGGATTGCTACCATATTCTTAGCATCTGTAATAGCTGTTGCACACACTGCCAGATTGCAGCCTGGCTCCAGGAACCCTGTGGACCCTGAAGAAGACACGGCAGAGGGTCATTCAACTGCTGGCTGTTGCGGAAGCATCAGAGAGAGGCTGAGACTCTACTTCCAACTAATAACTCTTTCAACTGTGCTCTTGTTTAATGCAAAAGGTCATTTTTGTGTCAATTGCTTCCCTGGAGGAAGAACAGAGGAAATCTCTTTCCTTGCATCTCCCGCTTCAAACTGGAGCAGTGTTTCTGGAGAGAGACTTTGGGAGAAAGTTGCCCAAAGGTAAAAGGTGCCAGTAGATGTCCCCAGACCAAAGGCCCTTTTTCATTTTCATCTGGCCATAAAGAGAAGGACTATAGAAGTGCAAGTGGGTAGTATCCTACAAAGTCAGAAAAAAGATTTTTTTTTTATCACTTTGCAAATCACAACATGCATGAGAGGTGGAGTGCTGATAATGTTGCATGAAGTCACTATGAACAGGACAAACCAGAGTCCCCGTAACGGTGATGGAATGGGCTCCCAGGGAGCAGAAGGGGAAGGCGGTTTGCTTGGCTTAAGTCTTCATTTAAAAAAATGAAGCCCCAGTGATCTGGTGTCCATTGCCCAAGTGATTATAGGCATTTGGGGATACAAATAACCTGACTCACTGGTCTTGAGGAACATTGGTGGTAGTGGTGGGTGTTGTTTGCCTGGTAGGAACCTATGCATTCTCTTTTCTTCCGGTAACATGATTTTGTCATCACCTTTTCCCTATTGCAATCGCTCTTGGTTGGCTCATGAGTCCAAATGCCCGGAGCCTCCTTTGGTTAAGGAATGGGACTTTGACCCAAGTCAGATACCTCAGAGCCTCCCTTTAGAGCACTGACGTCTTGAGCAGAATGACTCAGGAACAGAAAGGGTTGAAGTTGGGGGTGGAGGAGGCAATGGGGGGAAATTACAGCAAGAAAATTACCAGCAAGCAAGATGCTGTTGGCCCCTGGGCACAATTGTATCCCAAGCTATAGGCATTTCCATTACATAAGTCAAGAAATTCCGTTTTACATGAAGTTAAAAGGAACAAAGAAAAATTGTTGACAATCATGCCCCTTACTCTAGAGAGATTGCCTGTTATTTCCTGCTTCCCACATCCTGGAAGGTGACCCGGCCTTTGCAAATCCCTCTGCAGCCTGATTCTGTGAGCAATTCAGGATCTAGCCTATAAATATCTCTATTCGTTTCCTGATGCTGCTGTAACAGATTAATGCAAATATACTATCCTGCGGTTCTGGCATGCAGAAGTCTTACATGAGTCTTTTTTTTTTTTTTTTTAGGTCTTTTCATTTTTTCAGGAAAATAATATTATTAACATCAAAATATTAGGAAAAAATAATTTGCTTTAGTAAAGGAGAATACAAACATAGTAACTCACATGAGTCTTATGGGGCAAAAGTTAACGTGTTGACCAGACTGCATTCCTTCTGGAAGCTCCAGGGGAAAATCTGTACTTGTCCTCTTCCATCTTCTGGGAGCTGTTCACATCTCCTGGCTCATGGCCACGTCACCCTGACCTCTGCTTCCCTCGCTGTATCTCCTTCTCTACCTCTGACCTTCATGGCTGCCTCTCTTAGGGATCTTAGATGACATTGGACCCACCCAGATAATGCGGGATAATCTCTCCATCTCAAGATCCTTCCTTTAATTAACAATGGCACAGTCCCTTTAACTAGGTAAGGTGACATATCCTCAGATGCTGGAGGCTATGACATGGGTAGTCCATTCCAGGTCCATCAAGGGGGTCTCTTTGGCAGGAGGCCATGAGGAGGTCACTAATCAGCCTCCTGTCATAGCTCCTTGCTCAAACTACCCAGAAACCCAAGTTTCTGTTGTTCACAACACCTACTGATGTGTCACTTCTAGTTGGTATCTGCAAAAAAGAAGAGGAATAGTATTTATTCTGCTGGAAACTAGGAAGGTGATCATAAATGAGTTAAGAGTACATTATGAAACATTCTTAAGAAATCGTTCCCCCACATGGCCCTTCTGCCCAATTTCCTAAGGTAGAGGCTACAGTGTGTCTTGTCTAAACAAGGACAGCCTTGTGTTTTTCTTGGGAAGTTCCTAGCATCATCTGATACCCAACAGAATTGAATATCTCCTTGACTCTGGTGTGCCTGGTTCTTTTGGCAGGACACTGAAATTCTGAACACCGCCATACTCACTGGAAAGACAGTTGCCCTGCCCATCAAGGTGGTCTCTGTGGAGGAAAACAGTGCCGTGACGGACATCTCAGAGTTGGTGGAATGCAAGTCCACAGACGAGGATGTCATCAAAGTAAGTGATTTCACAACCAGCTGGATGGAGCTGGTGGGACTTCACCTGGGCACCCCATTCACCAGAAATGTTCAGATTGAAATTCGAGGCTCAACTGCACAGAGGTTTACACAACACACTTCCCACTGATCCACTCAACTTTTCCATCTCCATCTCTCTATTTTGGAATCATGCCAACCTAGTGGGGGTTTTTTGTTTGTTTGTTTGTCTTCTTGCTCACTCTTCCTTCTTTCCTTCTTTCTTTGTCTTGCTCTTTCTTTCTCTCTCTCTCTTTCCTTATTTATTTGACAAATAAATGTTCTATATATTTATCTTATACAGCATATTGTTTTGAAATACATTGTGGAATGGCTCAAATGAGCTAATTAACAGATGCATTATTTCCCATACTTATCATTTGTGTGCTGAAAACCTTCAGAAATCAACTCGCTTATCAATTTCCAAGAGTATAATATGTTGCTATTAGCTGCCGTCACCATATTGTACAGAAGACCTCCTAAACACACTCCTCCTCTCTAGCTGACTCTGTGTACCGCTGCCTGTCATCTCCCTCCCCCACCCAGCCCTGGGGGTCACCCATCTCCTCTCTGCTCCTGTGAGTTTCATTTTACTGAATTCCACAGGTCAAGGGAATTTGCTTTTGTGTGCTTGGCTTATTGCACTTACCACGGTGTCCTCTGAGTTCATCTATATTGTTACAACCCACAGGATTTTCTTATTTTTTAAGGCTGGACAATTTTCCATTTTTGTGTGTATATCACATTTTCTTTATTCACTCATTTGTCGATGAGCCATCAGTTACACTTTGGAGCATGGGTCAAACCCTGAATGCCTGCAGTGGTGAGACAGGTGATTCAAATGAGTGACGTGATAACTTGGATATGCCCTGTTTTGGAAGGACAGCCAAGATTCTGTTCTTCGTCTTTTCCAGCAAGGAAATGGCTACAACCAATTGTGGTCATGAGCAAATGCAAGATGAGTTAAAAGAGTTGAAAACCTGGATGTTATAAAAAAAAAATTTTTTTTAAACACCTTATTTTTTTAATTTTAAAGCTATGGGGTAAAATGCAGGGTTAGATATACAAATGGCCATTGTGTAGGTAAAGTATAGGCCTCACTTTGGTTCCCACTTCACCTGGTTTGAGATCAGGTACTCTTCTTGATGAGGTGTGCTCGCCCTCCCTCCCCTGGCAGTTTCCCACTACTGCTAATCCCTTTCTTATAGTATTATATAATTGTTCAGGGTCTGCTTATGAGTGAAAAACCTTATTTGTCATTGTTAGCTACCCAGTGTAATTTTTGAATGGGCAAAAAATAAAATTCATCTGCATTAAAATTCATCTGCATGTGGGTTGGCCCATGGGGCAACTCCTTCTAGAACAAGAGCTGGCAAACTATGAGCCAAGGTCCGAATCTAATCACTGCCTATTTTGTAAATAAAGTTTTATTGGAACACAACCACCCAAATCCATTTCCATATCGCCTGTGGCTGCCATTGTGCTACAGCAGGAGAACTGAGTCACTGACTGAAACCCTGTGGCTCAGAAAGTCAAAAATATCTTCCATTTTTCCCTTCCCAGAAGAGATTTGTCTAGAACAATGCCTGTGCTAAAATCTTGCATTTTTTGAGAGAGGAACTTTAATTCCTGGTCTTCCCACCATGAATCATGATAATGTACCCATGACATCTGCTTAGAGAATAAGACAATGCCAGGGCTACTTCGGGCCAGAGAGTAACCATTTGGTCTTTCTTTATGTTTTTTTGTTATCCCTGGAAAAATACCCCTGAAAAAAAAATCTAACAAAAACATCCAGGCAATATTTTTTGCCCCTCAAATCGAGTTGGACAGAGGCGATCCGTCCCTTCTCTTCTGTTGAAAGCTCCGTGCCCAAGTGGAAGCAAGCCTCATGAACTGTTGGGGTGGAGGAATGGCAGGGGAAAAGACTTCTCTGCAAACCTCACTCCAACACAGACAAGCAGTAGAGACCCACACTCGATTGTCCACGGCCCTTGGTGCCACCATCAGATGGCGATACTCATGCTACATCATTATAACAACTTTCTAGCCTTCCAAAAAATCATCCAGTATATTATGATGATTTTCTGACTGTTGGAGGTAGTGTCTCAACAGAGAGGTCTCTTCTTCTAATTCCTCCAAAAGTGACATATGGTTTAGGGGTGACCCTAAATCCGGTGTTTTAACAGAAAGGTCATAAAGCCCACATGAGGAGGAGGCAGAGAAGGATGAAGTTCTAAACCAGCGAAAACACAGTGTGAATCACATAGAAAATTTTAAATGTTCTAACAACCACATTCAAAAAAGTAAGAATAAAAAGATTAAGTTAATTGAATAATGCACTGTGTTTACCCCATTAGATTGAAAATGTTATCACTTCTACCCGTGATCAATATAAACATTATTAATAAGATACTCTCCATATTTTTAATCTGTTTTTGGAATCCAGTGTGTATTTTACCACACACAGCTGCACTTCAAGTGCTGCATAACCACATGTGGCTTGTGGCTACCTTATTGGAAAACACAGGTTCTTCCTGATCACTGATTTGTAAGTCTCCTAAAAGCCAGGACCCTTGATAAAGGTGATCTTCTGAAAGGACACTCCAGCACTGATAACTTTTGACGTAAAGAAGCTACATTTTAGCCTACAAAAACCAGGAGGGAAACAAAACCCAGAAACAAAATTTCTAACCATTGTATCCATAGCAGCCCTTTGTTACTCTTAAATGATGTTGACATGAAGACCATTACTAATGTCTCCAGGAATATAATCAATATCTTTAGAGAAATAAACATATTCAAAGGGAAGATTGCCTCCTGAAATGAATCTGGAGTAGATGCTCCTGGCTGTTAACAAAGCCATGTGACATCTTGGGTCAACAGAAGCAGGGTAGGGATGTCTGAGCAGGCTGGCTTGGTGAACACAACACCATTCCCAGAACTTGGCTCGTGGCTTTGGGTCTAATGAGATCAGTGACACTTGCAGAGCTGGTTTAGTACAGCCCAGCATGCCTTAGAGAGGAGAAGAGAGAGAGAGAACTGACATTTAATCAATGCCTACTCTGCAGTGGGCTCATGAGGTTTGGGATCTCGGCAGCTCCAAATTCGGTCAAGAACTCTGAAGGCTCTGAGATTTCACCCTAGTGTGTGCCGGCAAATCAAACTGTCACAGTTCTGAGGATGCTGGCAGAAGACACAAGACCCCTTAGTTGGATTCAAAGGACAGCCAGTGTATCTGCATTTTTCTGCACCAGTTGCCAGAGCTATCATTGCCATAGGGTTATGCGGAGGGGACCAGTGACATTTGCCCATCTAGTGGATTATGTTTCAGGAGAGGAGCCCTCAGCTTTGAGAACCCCCATCTTTTATAATGGAAGGTGTTATGGATGACATGTTTGTGTCCCTCATTCCCAAACTCACATGTTGTTGCACCCTTAACCCTGAACGCAATGTTATTAGGAGATGGGACCTTTAGGAAGTAATTCAGTTTAGATGAAGTCATGAGGGCAGAGCCCCATGATGGAATTAATACCCTTATAAGAAGAGGAAGAGAGACCAGAGCTTAGTATCTCTCCACTGTTTGAGGATATAGCAAGAAGTTGGCCATCTGCAAGCCAGGAAAAGAGCCCTTGCCAGAACCCAGCCATGCTGGCATCCTCATCTCAGACTTCCCAGCCTTCAGAACTGTGAGGAATAAACGTAGGTTGTTTAAACCACCAAACTGATGTTATTTTTATAGCAGCCCAACCTGACTAAAACAGGCAGTGAACCTGCCTGACCTTCTCCCCGGAGAGAGACAATGTCTTTGTCATATTGGACCTTAAGCATACCTGCTCTTTGCTCCAGAAGGGGACACGATCCCTGTCTTCCAAGACCATTCACTATAGAAACACCCTTGAGAAGACCATCCAGAACACACATAGGCAGTGCTCAGCTTGTAAGTCGTGCGGAAATGCAAGAGTATCATAGAGCTTCTCCCAGAGTTCTTTGTGGTTTTGCCATTTCCAAGCTATTCGGTCTTGGACAATTTGTATCATATTCACTCCAGGACTTAGTCTCCTTCTCAGTAAAATGGGGGTCATCAGAGTTCCTAATTCAAAAGGCCATTGTAAGGATTGATCAGCTTTATTAATCAAGTAAAGAACAGCATGAACTAGTCTCCAGCATACAGTGAGGACTTAGTAACTCAGAGTCAACTTTGGTTATCTCGTGAAATCCTCTGACAACCCACTAGGAGGCCTGAATTTACGTTTTGTGTGGTCTACCCAGGGTTGCCAAAAAATTAGAATCATACACAAGTCATTTCAAGTGTACAACTCAATGACTATTAGTAAATTTACGGAGCTGGGCAGCCTTCCTGCTCTCATTTTAGAGCCTCTGTTCATCTCTATGCTTTCCATCTCTAGCCTTGCCTGCTCTGGACATTTCATATGAATGGCATTGCACCATATATGGTCTCTGGTGCCACGCCTTCCGCTTGGTGTGTGTTTAGAGTTCTTCTACGTGGTAGCATGGCTCAATCGTTCATTTCTTTTGTTGCTAAGTAACATCCCATGGTGTGGATGCACCATGTTTTGTTCATCTAGTCACAGGCTGGGCTGCTTCCACTTTTTAGTACTTATGAAAAATGCTGCAGTAAGCACTCACAGGCAAGTCTTTGTGTGAACGTCTGTTTTCCTTTCTCTTGAGTGGACACTGAAGGGTAGAAAGGCTTGGTCCTACGGTGACCTTTTCTTTAACTTTTGCTAAACTTTTTGCCAAAGCGTCTGCACCATTTTACATTCTCACTAGTCGTGTCTGAGGCTTCCTCCCGGCCTACTGGGAAGATCCAGTCAATCTGGCCCTACAGGACCACCTGCCCACACGGCCGTATGCAGGGCTTGGACGTGGGCTTTCCGACTTGCCAAAGTCGCCACTCCTTCTCCTTGCTTCTCTCTGGTCCCCTTCCACTGCCTGCTTGGCTCATGGGAGCATTTGAAT